CGTATGGCAGCTTTGCCTTTGGCATTTTTTTCTTGATTTTATCTTTTTATAAGGGCTCCAATGGTAGCGCTATTAGCTAGCTTCGTGCTTTTAAAACTTTACATGGAAAACTTTCTCGGCATTATCAAATATGACAATTGAATTTTCACACACACGACATACAAAGCAATTTCATTTCAATTTCTTATTTTTGGGGTCTTTTTCATCCAAGCCAACCAGCTCTTTTAAGTGTACCAAACTCCATATTTGGATTAGAACGTCCGTACTTTAATAATCCATATATAATTAATGCATTATTTATTGTGTTTGTTGAGCAAGAATTCTGCAGTGTCACATTCGTGGCTATTGGCTAATAAACATTAAACGATAATTTTTCTTATATTTTATAAGGTATTTTTAGTGTTAGATAGATGTAATAAACTGTTTGCTGTCACCAATAAATGACATTAAACGATGAATTTTTTTCTAATATCAATAAGAAAAATTATGTATTAATAACACATTATACGAATCACACGTGATGGCTTTATCTTATATTGCTCTTTATTTTAACCCAAGCACTACTTTCAGGTGCATTGAACACTAGTTAAATTAGTTAATCTAGCAGACATTTAATTAGTGATCATTCGATTACGATAAGCATCTTCAATTAATTAACTTTAATATTAATTTCCAGCCATATAGGGAACAAGTGCTCATCTCTCTCACTCTTTCCTTGCCAAATTAATTTGTGATTTGTGACTATAGATTCCAACATTATCCCACCTATTTCAATAGATGGCCCCTTTTTTATTTTATACTAAACTCTAGTTAATGTAGCCTTTAATTATATTAATTAATTAAGTTGAGTAATTAAAAATCTTAGTCATTCAACTCATCTTCCTTATCCACCATATCTTCTATTAAATATTAGCCACTAATTTTTTTTAATTAACATAAGTTTAATAAATTATATTATTATATTATGTAGTCATCTATTAGTTGAAACAAAGCTGCCTGGAAATTGAGAGCAGCCTGAAAGTGATCATGGTTGTGGTAACCCTACTTCTTAATTAATAATTAATTGCATAATTAATAATTAATTTAATAAAGAGCAAGGTGGTGGAAATCCCACCTCAATAATTGAAAGTTTTGATCCATTAACACGTTTAATTTAGATAATTAACTCTTATATTCCATTGGATGTGACTCGCCTTCAATTAATCGATTCTAAAGCTGAAAGATTCTGGTACATTAATATGCTTATCTTCATGTTAAGAACCAATCTATAGGATGCAATTACGGGAAAAAATATTTTGTACATGATAAGTTCCAATAAAAAAAGAAAAAGATCGAATATTTAGTTGGATTATTAATGTACTAATAACGTTACCATTGAGATTAGCCTGATTAAGTAGACTTAATTATTTATCTTTAACTCACGTTTTCTTTCTACATTCACCTTTTAAATCACCTCCCTTTGGGATTTAATTTCAACTGTATATTTTAAAGAAAGAAATTTGTGACTCAATTCACCAAATTATTACGTAAAATCATTTTATTTTCTTTGTTTTTTTAAGTTTTAATTTTTAATATCAACTACAATAATGATATAAAATTGGGTAAAATAAAATTCGCTAGCCTGAGTTTAATATGGGTGGTTATGAATTACTGAGTTATGACCAAGCACTTGATAATTATTAAATGTATTTTCATTCAAAACAAACAGAGAATATCATTCTTAGACTTACATATGAAACTAAATATTAATAATAATTAAAGAAAGAAAATTCTTTCCTACATCATCAAGCAATAACTTAATTTAAGGTATCTTATTATCAAATAATTTGCTGCCAAATTTGCCATTTAAAGGCATCCAAGCTTCAAACAACTAATGAAAGTGAAACGATAGAAAAGAAGAATTAGCCTGTTAGGTTAAAGACAGATACGTTTAGTTAACACAATATAAGCATAATAAGCTAATCCAAAGTGGGATTTGGTATAATCTCAGTGGAGACATGAACAACATTTCATTAAATATATATATAATGATGAAGAGTTGGACGTATGCTATGGGAAAGAAATAAATTAATTAATTAAAAGAAAATATAGAATTGTTTGCCCTCGGCGTGTACGTTGAGTGTTGGAAGCTGATGAAATAAATGGAACCCACCACTCATTTTGCGAATATGACTCAAATTGGGACCCAACCCTCACCTTATAGTTGTTAAAACTTTACTATCTTAGAAACTTTACTATCTACTTCATAGTCATTGAGAAGTGGAGGATTAAATAAGTTTGAGTCATATTATTCGTATTTATCCAATAACATTATGTTCTACAGTAAAAAATTTATCTCTTCATTGTTTAGTTCAACCATCGACATGATTGCATGAATATTTATAACATAATTATTATCTCACGCATTTTGATGGTATACATAATTGAAAACTATTATGGGTCAATGATTGTTCTTTGTCTAGAAAGTAAAATTAATTTTTTGTCTTTTAACACTATCCAACACAGTAATAAATTGGTAACGATGTCAATTATCAAGGTTTTCGTTTAAAAAAATACACACATATATGTATATGATATAGTCATCCGTATTTTAATCTAAATCACATTTATCGGCGAGCACGGGAAGAAAGATTTTATAAATATTTATTGCATCAAAAACTGTAAAAATATGTTATTTAACGTTTACTGATAACAGTAGATAGAGATCTCAATTTATAAAACAACAAAAAATGTTTGTATCTTAGAGTTTGTCATATTGTTATTACTGCTAGAATATGCACATATATGTATGTATATAAGATAGTCATTCACGTTTTAATCTAAATCTCGTTTATTGGCAAGCACTAGAAGACAAAAATTTAATAAATATTTTTTACTTCAAATACTATAAGAAAAAACATATTCTTGTAACGTTTAATGGCAACAGTAAATAGAAATGTCAATTTATAAAGAAGAAGAAAGTTTATATTTGAGAATTTTTAATATTGTAATTACTAATAGAATTGTTCTTTCTTGGGTAATACATAAATATACGTTACATATACAAAAAGAAGAGATGTCGTTGTTGGTTTGTTTGGACATAAATGAACCTTTTATGTAGTGCGTCGGCATTTTGAAAATAAAAATTATTGCTAGTATTGAGAAGGAAAAAAGAGATGACAGGCAAAGTATATAATAGTGGTGGACCTTCTTCTTGTAAGTTGCAAATAAAGAGGACCTACTCGATCTAAATCCACCTGAGCCACCTTTATCTAGCGGAGAAATCTCATTATTTTTTCTCGGAAAATGTCAAATTTTAAATAATGTAATACGAGAATCATGATCATTTCTGGATCCACACTTTCTTTTAACTTTTAAGAATCTCATAACATAAATATATTCTAATGTATTTATGATTAAAATTTATTCGATTATTGTATTCATATTTTGCATATACAAATTACAAATCTTTATTCGTTCAGATAAAAATTCGAATCAAAAGAGAATCCTTACACGGTATAGGATAATTTTCCTTGCCAAAATTGAGTTAGATTGGAGATGAAAATATGTCAAGAGCTCAAGATTCATCTCGTTTTTATTATGTTTACAAAACTGTTTCTCATGCTTTTTTTCTCTATTTATTACTACAAGGCGCCAAATATTTTAGTTTTTCAAGAGCTTTTTTGAAACCGTTTCTATCCTCCATTTATAGAAATTTGAGAATTCGTCAGTTGGAACATGATGATGCATCATGCTTATATCAAGACAAAATATATAATATGCAAATTTAGTACCTACTTTATTCTAGAATTTTAATTAGTTAATTAACCTACCTTAATTAAGTAATTTTAATACTGAAAAGGATTCAATATTTAAGCTTGTTTGTTTATTAACGAAGTGGTATCAAACGAATTGAATCTTTCGAATTTATTTTAGCAACAAAACTAGATTATATCATACCGAATCGAATCAAATTTAATTAGAATAATACTAAGAATTATTAGCAAGTTATTATCATTGAAATTAATGTGAATGAAATCAAGTTTAAACGATTAAAGAATCTAATCAAACTACACTTATATGCATGATTAATATTGAATCTAATTCGTTGTTTTAATAAAAAAGTTAAAAAGTTTTAAAATTAAAAGTGTAATACAGTTGTTTGGGGCCTATCTAGTTTGGATTATTTGAGTGCAAATGGAACCTTACTTGGAACATATAATCATACATCAGATACTATTGGTCTTGTCATGATGGAATTAAAGAAGCTTTAATTTGCCTCTGTACTTTATATTCTTAATCTCGTTTTCATTGATTCCTATTCTTGTTCCTATCCAATAATACTCTTGTATATGGTATTAGGCATATATCTCTAATCTATGCGCCATTTAGCCATTCCAGATCCTTCCCAAATCATTTCATTACATCACTAATCTTATGTTAATTAAGTGCATTTTACTGTACTCTTCATATATTATTAGATAAAAAAGTTTCAAACGTTATATATAGATATATATATGAAAATTCCTTAGTCTAGACCTACACAGTTTTAAATTCTACTTAAATTGTTCAATACACAATACTTAAAAAATAAAATTTCACAGTTTACCTTGAAAGAAAACTTGAACGAATCTTTTAATATTTAAGAATTTCTATAAATTATTTACAGACGTCATCTAATGAGGAGATTTATGTTTTATAAAAATTCAGATGCTCATAAAAGAGGCGAACTAATATGTGATTTTCTCTTATGTAATATAAAGTCGTTGATTTACTAATGTCTATAAACTGTTTACCCACTTCATCTAATAAGATTCATATTTTTAATAAATTTAAATGCAATATAAAGTTATTGATACGATATACAAATAAAGTTGATACATCCATAAAATTTCCCTAATCAATTTAATAATCCCCAAGAGCCCTAGTGGCCCCAACTGCATACAAAATGACGACATAAATCACCAACAAGATTTAATTATTCACTTTACTTCTCTTTATATAACCCTTTAAGCTCATCTCTCTTCTCTCATCGTTCAGGCTTAAACACAATTCCTCTTCTCTCTTCATCATCTCTCTCTCTTCTGTAAACAAAACAATAATTTTTTCTCTTCATTAATTCTCTCAAAAAAAACTCCGAAAAAAATCAAACATGGAAACTCCCAGACAACCCACCCACGTTGCACAACAAAATGCCTCGCTGCCACACTCGCCGTGGCACTCTCCAGTGCCGTATTTGTTCGGCGGCTTGGCGGCCATGCTGGGTTTGATCGCTTTCGCTCTCTTGATTCTCGCGTGCTCCTACTGGAAGCTCTCGGGGTATTTAGATAGCGGGGAGAATGGGAACGGAGAGCGTGATTTGGAAGCCGGAGAGGCGAAAAATGACGGGGAAAATCAGAAGCCACCTCAGGTTTTTGAAGAAAAGTTTTTGGTGATTATGGCTGGAGAAATGAAACCAACGTTCTTGGCCACGCCAATGTCCAGTCGGTCGTCTTCTTTCGGCGATGAAAGTAACAAAACGTGTTCTTGCAGTAGTGAAAAGAATGAAAAACTGGAGGAGGAGGAGGAAGTGAAGCTGCAGAGTGGTGGTGGTGGTGATCAGGCACAAAGAGGGAACATGAATTTACATGAGTCCTCAGATCAGAACCATTAATAATAATTTTCCTCCTTTTTCTTAAAAGAAATTTGAGCTGTCATTACGGTTTTGTTTTGGAGGTTTGTGAGGTTGTTTTGTAGATGGTGAGCTTGCATAGTTGCATGTCAGATTGGTGTGTGGCCTCTTGTTGTAGATTTAGTTTAAATTTCTCTTATTTTTGCTTCCTTTTTTCATTCGGGAAATGTAAATTTTTTTGAGATTGAAAGGGAAGATTAATTATAATTATCAAAATCCTCAGACAAATTGAAGTTTCTGTAAAAGCTGCTGGTTTTGGCAAATCCAGAAACCAGAAATTATTTAATTAAGGATATATAACGTGTAAAAGTTTGGAAAATCGATCTCTCATGCGGCGAGGTGAAGCTGTGACAAATTTCACAAGCTTTGATAAGACACTCAAGAAATTATTCTGTACTTTCTTCTTCTTCTCTGTTTAAATTTATTAATTTTCATGGCATTCTCTGTTGGATGTTTAACCTGAAAATTAAGCTTACATCAGGACATAAAATAATTAACTAATATTAATTGGTTTAATTTTAGTGAGCATTATGTGGGTTCAGATTGCGGTGTTTATTATTTATATATATAAAGAAAAATATAAAAGCTTAAAATTTGGTTGCCATTAATTGATGAGCTGAATTATTTTGGATACAAGGTGAAACATTCTATATAAATATTCAACAACTTTACACGGAAGTTTTATCGTGTTTCAACACTATTTCCATGAAAAATGTGTTCAAAGTAAAAATCAAGGTAAATGCTATAAAGTTCTAGACACCAATAATTTTTTTCAGAATTAACCACCACGAAAATAAGGTACTTTTATAATAACTTTGTAATATTAAATATACATTTATAAAAAAAAAAAACTGTGGGGGAGACAAATGTCATTACTATTGAGCTATTCTTTTGAACAGTTTTTCAAGGCAATTTAAACAGTGAGTCGATAGAGAAACAGATGAAGATGCGGCAGCAAGAGAATGATAATTGGTTGCAATTTCTAAAGCACAAATGACAAAAAGCTTCTGTACGATTATAATTTACAAATAGCTCAAAACAGAGAAACTTGTACTAATTCAATGGAACAAAGAGCCCACAGATTTCTTTTTTTATTTCTTTTTAATTATCATCTCAAACTAATGTTTGCCAAGTGTATGTTTTCTACTCTCCTCTTTCCTTTTCTGCAGCTGCCTTTAATTCCTTTCAGTTTTTCACAAACAAGAAAATTAATTTAATTATATCTCATAGATGCTCTATTCTTGACTTCTTTCATAGCCCTTTCAGAATCTTTTCCTCTTAATAAGGTATAAAATTACCTTTCTTTTTCTGTGTGTCCACTGGGTATTTGAGGAAAATTAATTATCCTTTAATTTAATAATTATATAATTATTAATTAGCAGTGTGTGTCAAAGCATATATTTTTGCTGGTATAGGTTACTGTTGATGATGGGGCATCAAACAAAAATATACCATGTTGAAGCAAACCTAAAATTCTCATCCATATGAATTATACTCTTCTTAGATTATTTTATTTTTCTCAAAAATATCCCTATCTAGTGTTTTTTTTTTTGGGGGGTATTTATTCAGCTGTTTTCAAGTCTTTAAAAAAGAGGTTCCATGTCTACTCTTGTTAGACAAAATTCCATTTTATTATAATTCTCCTGGGTCTATCTACGATTCTACGTTTGACTTTAAACCAAAAATTTGTTAAAATTACTTCTTTCATTATAATTAAAGTATGTAGGGTCATCATTCTTTCCCAAGATTAAAATTTGAAAAGAAAAAAAAAAATCTAAAAAAGAGTCAAACGAAAATACACACAAGTAGAATAAATTCGTTTGGAATCAATTACCATCTATCTAATTTGGTTAATTAATTAATTAATTATTATTGTACTCAAAAGTTTAAGTTTATAAATAAAAGACTTCAATTTGTCACTTAAAAGAGTAACCATCTAATTTTAAGGCTTTTGTGTAAAAACAAAAACAAAAACAAAAACAAACAAACAAACAAATTGATAGAATATAAAATCAAGATTAGTATGATAATATATACACATTCAATAATGTAACAATATAATCGACGTTAATCATGAACAGATATAAACATTAAAATACAAAATTTATGATCTTTAGAGTTAGCTAATGAGATTCACATTTTAAAAGAAATATAGACATCCGCAAAGGAGGCAAACTTATCTTTCCATTATTCTTCGATGACGAAATGCTACTATTTAGAAAATATGCATACGTTTGAACAGCAGAAACTGTAATGGGCATTACAGCAACAAGCATTACAGTCATAATCCAACAACACCTCTTATTAACGATAATGCAACATTGGACTGCTACAATTCACGCCAGCTGATGGCCTACTGAAAATGATGAAAGACTGCTTCTACACCTCATAATAAACCTCTCTAAAACCCTTACTAATTTTAACGACTTAAATTGACATATAAATATCAACATAGTGAACATCTTGCTCCAAATGGGAGACCTTGAAAAATCCATTTCTAAATTCTTGTGTGGCTGAAGATCAACATTCATATTGTATTATTGCGAAGAGAAAACGAGTGGAACCGATTCCGATGAGGTGTGTTTCAATAATAATAATGCTATTGCTCAACGTCAAATCAAGACATTCCAATTACTCTCTGTAAAGTCTTAATTAATGACAGAGGAATGTCTTTGAGAGGAAGCACTTTTGTTTTCTTTCTTTCTTTCTTTTGTTCTTCTTGTAGAGAAAGGTTTGAAAACTACAACTCATGTTCATATTTCTGGCTACAAATTGTCTATGAATTCCTCATCAACTTCAACTTGAATACTGCCCCAAATGATAACCCATAAGTGAGTATAACTTTATGAAGTTGTACCTATAATTAATAGTTTAATGGGAGATTAAATTTCATTTTAATTGTTAAAATGGTTACCATAAACATAGAAACTTTTTGTCATGTTTTAGCAAGTTGAGTTTGTCGAAGTTTTGAATTATCTTTTACATGCATATGTTTTAATATACATACATACATACTACATATATTTCATTATGCACAACTTATTGATCAATAGTGCAATTTGACTGGAGTTTGGTTCTTAGAAAAATAGAATCAAATAATCTATTTCTCGGAAGAAATATTAAGAAATTTTCTTGGGTATATTTGATAAAATAAGCATCCAAATTATGTTATCGGTAAAAGAAAATAACAAACTGCAAACTAACTTAATATATATATTGTGTGTGTGTTTGTGTGACTAAGATTTACTAATATTCCATACAAAAATTAATTTACTAAGATTTTTGCATGTTGATTTGAGTTGGGCTTATAGGCCTCTTATATTTTAGATTGGGATGCAGACAGAAAAACTTTTGCCTGATTTGGGCCAGGCCTTTAATACCCAAATCCAAAACATGGGCTTGAAGTTGACATCAAATATGAAAGCGATTAAATAAGAAAAGATTTATGTAAACATCAAATCATCAAAATGGTTTGCTTGTATTTTCAATTTATTTTTTCAATGTATTGCCAAATAAGTCAAATGGAACAGCCAAATTGGAGTCCCGTTAGCCATTCCAAATCAATAATTAATCTGGCTCTACCATCAAACCTTCTCTTCATTTGATACAATAAAGAAAATATTGGTCCGTTTGGTTTGTTATTTTAGATATGATTTTGGAAATAATATTAGATAGTTAAATAGGATGAATATTATGAGATAAAATTTAAAAATTAACAAAAAAAACCCCTTAGGTTTGCTAATTTAACTAAACACCCCAATATATAAACATTTTGTAAAATGACAAAAACACCCCACCCACCCACAATGTCAAATTTCGGCCACTACCGTCGAAATCTAGCTGAAAAATAGCGTTACAATGCAGATCGGTTGGATTTGGCCGGTTGTGCGTCTCTATAGCCTTTTCCGACCAGATCCACCACGGATCTGGCCGGAAAAGGCCAAATCTAGCCGTCGACAGCCGCAAAATGCCAGAAACGACGGCCAAAGATATGATCGTTGTTGACAACCAGATCGGCGAATTACCAGCTAGTTCTGGTCGTTTTTACGCTATTGTGACAGATTCCGACAACCACCGTCTAGCAACTATAGGTAGGTGGAGGTGTTTTTGTTAATTTTTAAACTTTTTTCTCGGGGTGTTTAATTAAATTAATAAACTTAAGGGGTCTAAAAGAATTAAAAAATATATATAATAGTATTTTCCGAATAATTAAACAAACAAGTATTTTGGGAATAGGATAGGAAATAGGGTATGAATTAATAAAACAAACGGACCCATTAACTCTAACATTTAGAAATTATACAAATTAATTTATTTTTTTAATTTCTCAAAATTTACTTTCAAATAATAGCATCAAAGGTGAGCCATATTACCAAGACAAATATTAAAAAATCCATAGTTTTGGTCAAATTTATTTTTACTGATGTTTTGGAAAATGGGTTTGCATGGCAATTAAGGTCAAGTGGTTCAACTGTTTGACTGCAGCTGCCTTTTAATTTGAAAAGTAAGCATATTTTGTTGTGAAGACAAATATGTTGTTAAAGCTCTTAAAAAATCTTCGTCTTCAACAATCATCATTTAGTCATTTACTTAAATTTTTTTATTTTTTATTATTATTATTATTTTTTTTTTTTGGTGATCAAGAGTGTCCGAGTTAGCTTACAGGTACCTCGACTAATCCTTCAATACTCTAAAGTTAACAATCAAGTATACTCTCTAGTAGTCATCCCTATTAGTAATTGAAGTGACTCGGACTCAAGATCTCTTAAATAATACACTCAAGAATCTTTGTCCAACCACTCAACCATCTAAAGGTGGTTTCATCATTTACTTAATTGATGGAGTTCAACCCCTATTGACATTGTTCAGATCAGCTTCACATACAGTTGTGAAATTCTTGCTTATCATTTTGCTTAATAATGTATTTTCTTTCTGTTTCTGCTTTACTTCTTTATCTAGAACTTTAGTTTTGAAAAATAAATAAATAAAGTGGGTTTTCAAAATATACTAACACCAAAGTCTTCTTAATATTAAAACTATACATTTTAACTAATCATCAAGAAAATTTTGTATAATTTTCGTAAATCCTTCCATTCATATGTGTCTAGCAAGTGTTCCAAGTGGGAAATGTTTGCAACTTCGCAAAACCCGGTGCAATTCAGTAGTCAATGAAAATGACAAGAGGCTTAATTAATTAATCAAATTTTAAGATTATGTGAAGCCAAACCAACTTGAACATTAATGTAATATTTGTTGGATTTCAAAATTTAATGTATAAGATTCAAATGCTCTTCTTCTCTAACGGACCGAAGAAACTTT